ATAGAACACAGAGGGAGTGTTTTCATGAAATAACATCACGGCTGTGATTTGGTCACCGTAGATCATCACAGCTGTGATGTTATTGGCGATAACACACTCCTCGAGTGTTCTATTGCTTTAATACAACAGTTGTTGCTTAGCAACAGCGTCTCAGCGGAGTGATACAGTGTTTGTGAAAAACCCGTGATGTTATGGTGAAATAACAGCACAGTTAGAACGCTGCTCAACCAATCAGCTTGCGTGGCCGGAACTAACTGTTGTATAACATCTAACGACTTGTGCTCAGTTTGTTTGTTTGTGTTCTGCGCTGTACTTCACACACTGCTGTTAGTATGAGTGTCTTGATTAGCAGATTACATTGTTTTTATTGCTGAGTGGTCAGTTTTATGGTCAGATTTGTTTTTCTGGAGTATTGTGTGCAGCAGTGCTGGGGTCTGCATACGTATGACTATCCGGTAAAGTAACTCACTGTGAAACGTCTGCTGAGCAGGTTTATTCTGTGTTTAGTGAAATCCCACCAGCTAATTCCCCCAAACACACCATATGAATCAGTGCGGTTTTATTTTATTACCAGATTCTACTTTGATTTTTTAAGCTAAATTTTGACAGAAAGAAAATGTAGGTAAAAATTACATTAACATAAAAAATAAATACAAAATGTTTCTTAATGAAATGCTGAAATAACTTTCAGTAACTGAAAATGTGAAAATGTGAATTTATCTGTAACTCAGTCTTTTCCTCGGGGGCGCTGTCAGCTCTCAAGTGATCAAACTATGTGCATCACTGAGAGAGGAAACTGGTATGAACTCACACCAGCAGGATCTGTTGACCGTCAGTTTCATTTGAAGTGAAGGGCCTGAACAAAAATACGCGACTAAATTAGCATCAGCTGCTCCTGCAGGACGACAACATCTGTTTACTGAAAAGACAAACTAAATTCAGCTGTTCTGAAAAAAGCCAACAAACAGCAGCAACTTCAGGCAGAAATGTGAGTCTGAGACACTTGTAAGCAAGTCTGAGAGGAGCAGTGAGAGGAGCAGTGAGAGGAGCAGTGAGAGGAGCAGTGAGAAGATGCAGTGAGAGGAGCAGTGAGAAGAGCAGTGAGAAGAGCAGTGAGAGGAGCAGTGAGAGGAGCAGTGAGAGGAGCAGTAAGAAGAGCAGTGAGAGGAGCAGTGAGAAGAGCAGTGAGAGGAGCAGTGAGAGGAGCAGTGAGAGGAGCAGTGAGAAGAGCAGTGAGAAGAGCAGTGAGAGGAGCAGTAAGAAAAGCAGTGAGAGGAGCAGTGAGAGGAGCTGTGAGAGGAGCAGAGAGAGGAGCAGTGAGAGGAGCAGTGAGAGACTTCAGTGACTCCATGTCTATTTGTTATAATTCCACCGTCCGAGACTGAAGACGCTGACGATCGTTGCTCGGCTCTGTGTTCGTTACTAAGATCACTGATGATCTCTGCGCTGTAACGACGCTCCTGCTGAGAGCTGCAGCTGCAGTTTTCAATATAGTGTTTTATAAACGAGTTTCTCCAAACAGGCAAGGAACTTGTGATGCTCCATTAAAATCAGACTCCACTGAAGTCAGACTTCATTAAAATAAGACTCCACTAAAGTCAGACTTCATTAAAATAAGACTCCACTGAAGTCAAACTCCACCAAAGTCAGACTTCATTAAAATCAGAATCAACTAAAATCAGACCTCACCAAAGTTAGACTCCACTAAAGTCAGACTCGACTAAAATCAGACGCCACTAAAGTCAGACTTCATTAAAATCAGACTCCGTCAGTAGTGGTTCTGTTGTTAATGGTGGATTAAAGTGGTTCTTTGTTTAAGGGAGAATGCTGGACTCAGGCTCTCAGTGTGAGATGTGGTCAGGTGCTGGGCAGGAGGCTCCGTCCACTCCGGCAGAGAACCCCAGTAAATAAACCACATTATCCATCATTACATCCTGCTACACTGTATCTCTGCACACGACACCATCTCTGAGTTACAGTCATCGGATGTTTTGCATGTTTGTATCTCTCCCCAAATGTGGGAATCTGGTGATCATGTTGAAACGTTCCGTTTGGTGAATGTTCCGTGTGATGTTTGGAATTTTCAGAGCTCTAAAATAATAAGCGAGTCTCTGCTGTGATCCTCTGATCCTCTACAGCTGAACTGAGGGGTGAAAATGCTGTTTTCCCTCATCAGGTTCAGGACGACCTGCGCTGGTTTGGGGGGGTGGGGTGGTTGTGGGGGCGTCTCCACACTCTGGGACATTTATCCCTGAATTCCAGCGTCTCCAGCTCTGTGGATCTGTTGAATATTCACCCACACAGAGGGATTTATTCGCCCTGCAGCTTTCAAACACTTTGCCTTTCCAAAGCTTCTGACATTTCTTCATGTCAAACATCTCAAAATAAGCTGCAAATCCCAAAACACGTCCAGTTCAGCAGCAGCGCTGACGGGAATGCACAGGTTCAACTAACCTTAGACGATCAGTTAGATCTCCTGAGTGGTTCCTCTTCATTTTTCTATATGTTAGAATAACTGTGAAGACATGAAAACTACCAGATTTATCAGAAACATTTAAAAGATTTTTTGTGTTTTTTGTGTCAGAAGTAAAATCTCATGCTGACATAAACTGTACTATTTCGATTTGTCTTGAAATACATTGAGTTCGGTCCCTTTGTCACACCCAGATAATCTTATCTTATTAGACTGGAACAAACTGAGAGTGAAATTACTAAACAATCCAACAGCTCAAGAAGGTGTAGCTCACAGTAGGGGGCGCTAGTGCACTCAATAACATTGTCACATGGAAAACAAGCCTGTTAGCACACAAATGTAGTGAAAGTTAGCGCAGCTGAAACGTTTCCTAAAGAACTCTAAGCCTGTAAGTGAGAGTCGCGTGTGCTGAGAACCCAAAACAGACAGTTAAATAAACATGAACTCTCACAGAAACACAGGTCTGTCCGTTAGCGATAGCGCTGCGCTAGCTGGCTGGTTTTGTTGCTGATTGCTCTCTGAACGTTACAGTTTTTCTTGATTACTAAAGCATATTTAGTGAAACTGGAGTTGACTTTATCCTCATTGTCACTTAGTAAAGCAGAGTGTCTGTAAACCTGTTACTGTTCTCACTGTTTTGACTTTAAACAGTTACAGAAACACACAGACGTTCACTGGACAACTGTAAACAAAATGAAATCATGCAGTGACAGAAACACATATTTTTCTCTGATTTTCACACCTGTGTGAACAATAAAGTGCAGACTTATTACGGGATGTGTTGGAGATGTGTTGTTTTATAATGTGTCATGTTCAGATGCGTCGATATTCAGTAATAAGCGATACTGCGATATCAAACGTGATATTGTTATTATAGAGACTTTAAAACAGCGTCACTGCAGATTCGTCAGATCCTCAGAGCAGTTTTGCTCACACTGATGAGTGAACGGCTGTTTTAGTGTGTTACTGATCAAAACCTCTTCACAGCTCCCAGTAAAGTAGCAGTGCTGTCCTTTCATGGTCAGTGTGCCAGCCAGAACACCAGAAACCACCGAAAAATGGCCAAATGTTTTGACCAGAAACACAAAGTTTAAACAGGCCTCAAGCAGAGTGTCCGAATCTAACCCTGCCTGCTTTATGACGCTCGGACAGCCTTCTACCGGTCAGTGGTGGGAGTTTCAAAACGAGAGCGGGCAGTTTAACACAGAACCAGAGGTGTTTCTGGTCTATTTATTGTTGGGACACACAGAATTAGGAGGGGCACAGCCTGACCCCTCTGCTCCCCAGTCTAGTAAAAAGCCTGTTAGACACTAAATAGACCGAGTGATTTAACGCTAAAGTGGGCGTGGCTCTGCCGTGGGTGAGAAATGAAGAACAAATGAACACAAAATGAAACTGTATTAATTACAGTGATTGTTCTGATGCTCGTTTCTCTTTTCCTCTCTGCTGTATTCTCTCTCTCTCTCTCTCTCTCTCTCTCTCTCTCTCTCCTTCTCCCTGTTCTGCTCCTCTTCTCTCTCGCTCTATGCTCTGTCTGCTCTCACTCCATTAAAAAGGTTTGTTTATTGTCTGTTTACATTTCATTTGAATATTATTGTCACACATGCATGTGAAATAACTACGTTTTACTTTCCATCATCAGTTCAGGTGAGATGATTAACACAGGCTACAGACTGAGCCGTTAGCTGATGTGTTGAATATTTCATGCTGCACATTTTGCAGACTCGTTGTCAATGTTCCTTTTACTAGCTAGCATAACTACAGCTTTTGCTAATGTAATTAATGCCTTTGCTTTAGTGTCTAATATGTATTTTGGTAGTTATACAGTTGTAAGTGGCTACAGTCATACAGCTATGAGCTGTCACTACTTTGTCTGCTGCGCGTCTAACATTCTTTAAAATATTTGCAAAAATCCTGGCTGTGACTGAAAGCATTGGTGCTCAAGCTTTTGGAAAGATTCTGGGGCATTATGGGAAATGTAGTGCCTGTAGTTTCGTGTGTCCTGTAATCCAGAATAAAACAAAAAGGTTTATGACTTTCTTATTGGCTTTTACCACCATCATTTTACTGGGACACGCGCCTCAGTAACCTGGGTCTAATGACGCCTGTGAACAGAGCCAAACACAGAAAAGTCGTGAAAAAAAGTCTCCGTTAGATTCATGACGTGTTCCTAAACTGCAGACCTGTTCTCACCTTTGTGCTGTTGAGTGTGTGTACATTCTGTTCTTATCTAAGAACAAATCCAAAAAGAACATTGGTGAGTCAGAATCGTTGTCAGAACTGCGTAAGTGGGTTTAAGAAGGGATTTCTTCGTAAGGACGGTTGGAGAATAGCCTTTCTTTTTTATTTTTATATTAAAAAATAATCTTAATCAGGTCTCAGACTCGACCTGGACTCAACTATGACCACTGATATTAAAATGACCTCCAAACACTCCTGTATGTGTGTTTTACTCGTGATGATTTCTTATTCAGTGTAAACTGTGATGAAAGCTGTGCAGTATTGAGGTTTCCGTGCTGTGTTCCAGGGAAAGACTCCAGGCGTGGGCTTCGTGAAGATCCACGCTCCATGGAACGTTCTTTGCAGGGAGGCGGAGTTCATGAAGCTGAAGATGCCGACAAAAAAAGTAGGTTTTACTCTTTACGCTCAGGAGCTTCTGCGGTTCTTTATCTCCACGATGCGGCTCTGAGACGTTCTCCTCTGAACTGTGTTTAGGTGTACGAGGTCAAGCAGAGCAGCAGCGTAATGGAGAAGATCAACACGTTCATCAGCAAAGTGACAGATCCACTTCACCCCAACGTGGAGGAGAACAGAATCGAGAACGTGAAGCACCTCTCCCACCCGTTCTCCAGAGAAAAGCAGCACCTGTTAAGTGACACTTTTTAAACAGTTGGACCCGTCAGCTCCGCTCGCATTAATCACGTCCGTATCTCGGCCGTCTGATCCGCAGCGCGACGTTTACGGCTCCAGAGCTGCTTTTAGTGCCAGCCAGCCGTGCACTCCCAGAATAAGCAGAGTGCTATTAGAGAACAGCGCTGACACGTTTCAGCCTCAGCAGCGCTACACACCTTCACATCACTCGCATACAGACTGTAAAAAGTGATATATACACGTTTAACGTCCACACAGAGACAGCAGGGCACTTTTAGTTCAGTGTTTATTTTGGGAGAGACAGTAAAGTGCCCTTTAGTCAAATCAGACAAATAAACCTATAAATCAATGTGTTAATATGTAAAACAGATGTTTCCTTAATTGAATGAATGCTTTATTAATTGGATTTGGATCATCACTCCTGAGGAGCTGGTCTGAGTTCATCTTTGACCCTGTGTCCTTTTCTCCTCTCAGGTTCGATCTGTCCGACAGAGACTCCTTTTTTGACAGCAAAACAAGAGGCTCAATAGTAAGACATGCAGATTATAAATATTAATAATATTTATATTTATACAGTTGTGATTGAACTGTTCTGTGTGATGTAATAATTAATGTTTCTGTTTAATCTCCATTGTTGTAGGTGTTTGAAGTTTTGAAGAGAACTAAATGCACAAAGTCTAAGTTCAGTATGGGTGAGTCTACATGATCTCCTCACATCACTTTCTGGACTGTAGATTAAAAAACAGCAGATTGTAGGATAAAGGATCCTGTGTGTGTGTGTGTGTGTGTCTGTGTGTGTGTGTGTGTGTGTGTGTGAGTGTGTGTGTGTGTGTGTGTGTGTGTGTGTGTCTGTGTGTGTGTGTGTGTGTGCCTGTGTGTGTGTGTGTGTGTGTGCCTGTGTGTGTGTGTGTGTGTGTGCCTGTGTGTGTGCCTGTGTGTGTGTGTGTGTGTGTGTGTGTGTGTGTGTCTGTGTGTGTGTGTGTGTGTGTGCCTGTGTGTGTGTGTGTGTGTGTCTGTGTGTGTGTGTGTGTGTGTGCCTGTGTGTGTGTGTGTGTGTGTGCCTGTGTGTGTGCCTGTGTGTGTGTGTCTGTGTGTGTGTGTGTGTGTGTGTGAGTGTGTGTGTGTGTGTGCCTGTGTGTGTGTGTCTGTGTGTGTGTGTGTGTGTGTCTGTGTGTGTGTGTGTGTGTGTGCCTGTGTGTGTGTGTGTGTGTGTGCCTGTGTGTGTGCCTGTGTGTGTGTGTGTGTGTGTGTGTGTGTGGCGTGTGCGTGTGTGTGCGTGTGCGTGTGTGTGTGTGCGTGTGTGTGCGTGTGCGTGTGTGTGTGTGCGTGTGTGTGCGTGTGCGTGTGTGTACGTGTGTGTGTGTGTGTGTGTGTGTGCGTGTGTGTGCGTGTGCGTGTGTGTGTGTGCGTGTGTGTGTGTCTGTCTGTGTGTGTGCGTGTGTGTGTGTGTGTGTGTGTGTGCGTGTGCGTGAGAGAGAGAGAGAGAAAGAGAGAGAGAGACTCAGTATGTTAAACACAGTTAAACTAACATAAACTCAGCTTTTCTGCTAATACTGGGTTGAAAAGTCTGCTGCTCTCCAGGCAGCTCTGTAAAGCCTTCTAAGGTCAGGAGAGAATGTTCCAGAATCGCTCTGAGAGCAGAAACCACCGTCAGGCTTATTAGACTTATGCAAATATTAACACATTTATGTTAATATAGGATTTAAATTCATTATGTCAGATATAATTACATAGATAGATTAGTAGAATTATTGATAGATGGATCAGATTTCATATCAGTGTAAAAGTATAAAGGTGAATGAAAAGGTTAAGTGCAGCTCCAACAACAATGCAGTGCAATATAACGGTGTTTATCGATATTATAAATAAAAAGCAATATAATTCTAAAAATACAATAACAATATTAGCAAACATTAACAACACCTGAATGTGTAATGATAGAATCATATAAATATAAAACACTGTCGCCCACATATGAAACAGTAACGTAACCTGTCTGTAAGTGAAACAGTGATAATAATATACAGGATATAAACAGCACTGAGTGAACAGTGTCCATCTCACTGTGCCCTGCAGGAATAACCAGCCTGCTGGGCAGCGGCGCGTACCTGGCTGCGTACCCTCTACACGACGTGAGTGTTTCACCCTGAACTGAGCACTCATATCACACATATCACACTCTGTACCACACTCCATATCGCACTCCATATCACACTCCACAATGTGCTCCATATCACTTTGCGTACTGCACTCCATAAAGGTGATGTGTGAGACCCACTGAATGACCTCTCATCCTGGCAGGGTGATATAGACGGAGAGAATGTGGAGCCGAATGACAGGAAGGTGAGTGACTTTAGTTTGTTTTTGTGATGTCACAGTTAATGTGTGAATAATGCATCAACACAATAAATAATTAATAACACTACATTTTTTAAAATAGTTTGACCTTTTGAACCATTATTAGTTCCAGCCTGAAGCTTTCTGATGGCAGGTTCCGTTGATGGTTCTCTTGATAAAGTGGTAATTTTATCACTGAAGTACGTTGAGTCTGAAGTGTTAAATCTCTCTGGATGTCTGTGATGAAAAGTGGAACCTGTGTTCTCTCGATGTTCACAGATCACACAGTTTTCATGTTCAGGTTTTGTGTTCACAGGATTAAAATACTATCACTGAGTTACTGAAGGGAATAAATCCATTCTGATGAAGGTTGCTGTGCCACTCACAGCCATGACACTGTACAGTGCACTGCTTTATAAATAGAAAATGTAAATCTTTCTTAAGGCTCAAATTTGAGCAAAAAAGAAATTGAGACAAATGAATAATCATGATTATTTTAACTGTTTGACAGACCTATTTTTTATTAATGTGTTAATTCATTAACTAATTAATCCATCACTGTGTTCAGCAGAGGCGTTTAATCCTGAGTGAGGGGTCAGTCTGCACACAGACGTCATGTCCAGTAGAACACTGTGAGGCTGATGAGTTTAAAATGACCAGACAAGCTGTCACACTGCAGGGCAGGAGTGTGTGTGTGTGTGTGTGTGTGTGTGTGTGTGTGTTGCTCATCCCTTCTAGACAAACTCAAATTAACTGTCTATTTACAGTCTCTGCTGTTAGAGCTGCAATTTTCTCCACAGTCAGTAACAGAAGCGAACGCTGTGTGGAGAACTTACAGTGAGACTTCAGCCAAAAAGATCTATTTCATACAGTTTAGCTCTTACAGCCAGTGTGTATTAGAGATTACTTTACAGCCAGTGTGTGTGTGTGTGTGTGTGTGTGTGTGTGTGTGTGTGTGAATAATGGGTCACTTCACATCCAGTGTGTATTAGAGATTACTTCACAGTCATTGTCTGTTAGAGATTACTGTACAGCCAGTGTCTCCAATTATTTTACAACTTTACACAGTTTTAGTCTCAGGGCTGGTGTCGGCTTCTGGCATTTCCAGCTTGTGGAGAAGCTGGTGAATGCATGTGCTAATTGGTGGGTATAAGCTTCCATTACTTGTTAGCTACATTAGCCTCATAGCTCCAGTGTTTGAACTAAAGAAGTAAAATCAGCCACCAAACAGGCCTTGGTTGGCTGTGTGTGTGTGTGTGTGTATAATTAGCACTGCAGTGTAATGGGGGGTTTTGAAGCAGCTCTCTATCTCCGGCCCCCTGGGGTCTGATCACATCAACTACACTCGTGCTGACGGGAGCGCCCCCCTTCCAGATTCACACAAATTTTGATCCTGTGGTGGTGTGATAGTGCAGGTATGATTGTGTGAGTGAGTGTTTAACAGTGTGGGGGTGCTTGTGTGTTTGTTGTAGTGTGTTAGGGTCTGATATGAAGCCTCTGTCATTGATGCTGATTTTAAGGGGTAAAAGTTCTGAGAGGTGATGCTGTTTTATTCAGGGTAATATAAACTCCACACTGATTGACACTGCAGTGACGCTCTATGTCCAGTGAAGGTTTAAGATGTGCCTCATGTTACCGAGCTGGACACTCGTGGAGAACCAGTCATGGTGTCATGACATTATGATGTCATGGTGTCATGTCTTGTCATGGTTTTGTGGTGTGTTTCTGTTGTGTTGTCACATCATGATGTTGTGGTGTTGCGGTGTTGTGATTTTGTGGTGTGATGTCAGGGTGTTGTGTTGTCACGGTACACAGGTGCTGTGTTGTAAGTGTTGCAGTGTTGTGATGTGATGGTGTGGTGCTGTGGTTGTTGCAGAATTAGAATCATACATGTGTGTGTGTCTGGATTAAGGAGCTGACTGTGTCAGAGCAGAGATAGACTGTGTGTTTTGTGTCTCTCTGATTGAACTTTAAAAACAGCCTACAGCAGATAAGCTCCACCCATTCAGCCTACAGCAGTTTAGCCCCACCCATTCAGCCTACAGCAGTTTAGCCCCACCCATTCAGCTACAGCAGTTTAGCCCCACCATTCAGCTACAGCAGTTTAGCCCCACCATTCAGCTACAGCAGTTTAGCTCCACCATTCAGTCTACAGCAGTTTAGCCCCACCATTCAGTCTACAGCAGTTTAGCCCCACCCATTCAGCCTACAGCAGTTTAGCTCCCACCCATTCAGCCTACAGCAGTTTAGCCCCACCCATTCAGCCTACAGCAGTTTAGCCCCACCCATTCAGCCTACAGCAGTTTAGCCCCACCATTCAGCCTACAGCAGTTTAGCCCCACCCATTCAGTCTACAGCAGTTTAGCCCCACCCATTCAGCCTACAGCAGTTTAGCTCCACCATTCAGCCTACAGCAGTTTAGCTCCACCCATTCAGCTACAGCAGTTTAGCCCCACCATTCAGCCTACAGCAGTTTAGCCCCACCCATTCAGTCTACAGCAGTTTAGCTCCACCCATTCAGCCTACAGCAGTTTAGCTCCACCCATTCAGCCTACAGCAGTTTAGCTCCACCCATTCAGCTACAGCAGTTTAGCCCCACCATTCAGCCTACAGCAGTTTAGCTCCACCATTCAGCTACAGCAGTTTAGCCCCACCATTCAGTCTACAGCAGTTTAACTCCACCATTCAGCTACAGCAGTTTAGCCCCGCCCATTCAGCCTACAGCAGTTTAGCCCCACCCATTCAGTCTACAGCAGTTTAGCTCCACCCATTCAGCCTACAGCAGTTTAGCCCCACCCATTCAGTCTACAGCAGTTTAGCTCCACCCATTCAGCCTACAGCAGTTTAGCTCCACCCATTCAGCCTACAGCAGTTTAGCCCCACCCATTCAGCCTACAGCAGTTTAGCCCCACCCATTCAGCTACAGCAGTTTAGCTCCACCATTCAGTCTACAGCAGTTTAGCCCCACCATTCAGCTACAGCAGTTTAGCCCCACCCATTCAGCCTACAGCAGTTTAGCCCCACCCATTCAGCCTACAGCAGTTTAGCCCCACCCATTCAGTCTACAGCAGTTTAGCTCCACCCATTCAGCCTACAGCAGTTTAGCCCCACCCATTCAGCCTACAGCAGTTTAGCCCCACCCATTCAGCCTACAGCAGTTTAGCCCCACCCATTCAGCTACAGCAGTTTAGCTCCACCATTCAGTCTACAGCAGTTTAGCCCCACCCATTCAGCCTACAGCAGTTTAGCCCCACCCATTCAGCTACAGCAGTTTAGCTCCACCATTCAGCTACAGCAGTTTAGCTCCACCATTCAGCTACAGCAGTTTAGCCCCACCCATTCAGTCTACAGCAGTTTAGCTCCACCCATTCAGCCTACAGCAGTTTAGCCCCACCCATTCAGCCTACAGCAGTTTAGCCCCACCCATTCAGCTACAGCAGTTTAGCTCCACCATTCAGCTACAGCAGTTTAGCTCCACCCATTCAGCTACAGCAGTTTAGCTCCACCCATTCAGCTACAGCAGTTTATTTTGGTCAGAATATTGCTTTAATTCTGTGCGAGAGTCTCAATCTGTTACACACACCCTGCTGTGTGTGTATGTGTATGTGTGTCTGTGTGTGTGTGTGTGTGTGTGACTGAGTGGGTGGACAGTAGTGTGTGTGTGCAGATCTGCACTGAAAACACAGCTGCTGCCACACCCACCCACACACACACACACACACACACTTCATCCTGATGTCTGTCATCAGCAGTAACCCCACACTGTGTTCCACTGCCTGTTTCTGTGTTGTGCTACATGTTCTGTGTTCTGTTTGATGTGTGTTCTGCTGCGTGTTCTGCTGTGTTCTGTTTGCTGTGTTCTGCTGTGTGTTCTGTGTTCTGTTCTGTGTATAATCAGCCGAGTGCTGAAGGTTCTAATGAAATGAACAGGAAGGAAGCCAGGAAGATCCAGAATGTCTATTAAAGTATCGATTCCAATTTTACTCTGCTGTCTTGTGGTCACTGTGGAGTCAGTATGAGCTCAGTGTGGGCTGAGTATGGGGTCATTGTGGGCTCAGTGTGCGGTCAATGTGGGATTACTGTGGGCTCAATGTGGGGTCACTATGGCGTCACTGTGGGCTCAGTGTGGGGTCATTGTGGGATCACTGTAGGCTTAGTGTGGGCTCAGTGTGGGGTCACTGTGGGCTTAGAGCGGGGTCAGTGTGGGATTACTGTGGGCTCAGTGTGGGGTCAGTGTGGTCTGTGTGGGCTCAGTGTGGGATAACTTTAGGCTTAGTGTGGGCTCAGTGTGGAGTCACTGTGGGCTTAGTGTGAGATCAGTGTGAGTTCAGTAAAGGGGTCAGTGTGGGATCACTGTGGTCTGTGTGGGTTCAGAGTGGGGTCATTACAGGGTCACTGTGGGGTCACTGTAGGCTTAATGTGGGGTCAGTGTTGGCTTTGTGTTGGCTCAGTGGGATCACTGTGGGGTCAGTATGATGTAAACCGCAGAGTTTTACCTGCACTGGCTGACCGCTACGGTGTCCATGTACCAGCTCAATTGTGTTTTGTTGTAGACGCAATATTTGAAATTTGTGACTCTGACAAGTAAACACTTTCAAATTGATAATTTTAGAAATTCTAAAATTAAAAACTGTAAAAGATATTTTTTTCTAAAAAGGTTAAATATGCATTTGTGTATCTGCAAGAATCTGTTCAACATGGTGATATTTGTATTGTAACTTTAATAACGTTGTGAATTTGTTTTTAAACAGGATTGTTAATTTTACCACCCAGATGTCGGCGGAACAGCCACACAAATTAATTTAAAACTTTTTTACCAACGAGGACATGTATTGATAGTCTGTGTAATTGGACGCCTGTGTACAGTTTCATATTGTTCTCAAGTAAATAAACATAACTGTTGTTTTTTCTGGAGTCGCACCTCCTGGACCTGCCTGACCTCGACTCACAAATAACCATTTTTACAGTATTTCTGAAAGAGCTTCTGACCTTGTATTGCATCATAAAGGTCACTTGGGTTCTTCGTCGTGGTGCAGTGCTCTGCCCCGCTCTGTCTTAAAGTTTGATGAGTTGAATACTTTTAAAGCTGCCCTGTTTTTATTACTTGTTACGATCTTAAAGATTTTAAACATTAAATCACACCAAACTAAGAGTTTATATATAACAAAATATTTCTATTACTGAATTACTTTTTTTTCATAGTTTTGCGTATTTAGTTGGACGATTGCACTGTTACATTTTTAGACTTTGTCTAAAATGAATTTTATTTTGATGCATTACAAAATGTTTTTACATAAAGGAGATGTGATGTATGCTGTATATTTACTGAATTATTTTTAAGACAATAATGGACTTGGACCCAAAAAAATCATTTCACATTATTGAGCCTTAAGGGAGTGAAATGGCAGTGAAGTATCTGACTCTGTTTCAGCTGCTGTATGAGGAGTGGGCCAGTTACAGTGTCTTTTATAAATACCAGCCCGTCGGCTTGATCAGGTAAGGACGCCACTCACAGCACCGCAGCTCAGCCACCTTCACCGCTCACATATACACACAATACAGGACCGATACGCGGAACCCAGCAGTGAATCAATGAATATTTTGCTTCAAAAATGTTTTGAAACTAAATATTTTTTGTTAGTTTTGTTTTTGTTAGATAAATATGGATGCAATAATCAAGTGTTTTCATTTTTGAGTATCCTACTGAAGATTATGTCTGGATATTAAAATATTCCCATGAACAGTTATTATCATAACAAGTTCCTGTCCAATCTGGCAACCCTGAGCAGGTTTCTGAGACAGTCTGAGTGATGAGCGCTGCAGGAGAGCCGAGGAAACAGCGGCTGCAGCCTTCGGTGTGACTTGTATTCCTTCTGTATGAAGCTGTATTAGTTTTAACACCATAATGATAAGCTTCTGTCTGCTGTGGACGGACGGCTCGCTGACCAGAGATAAACGCAGTAGAGAGCAGACAGCCAGCAATCTAGATCAGCAGGAAAAGCATTTATGTTGAACCGGTGATTAAAACATCATCACCTCAAAGCAGAACTCTAATACATGAGCAGAGATGTGACCTCTGACCTCTGACCTTTGATCTCCACTGCTTTAAAAGGAAACAACCATCAGACTGACGTGAAAAAAGTCCATAGCTCTCTGCTTTTGTGAGACGTGAAGCAGATCATCTCTCTCTCTGTAGATGAGCTGCTTCTGCTTCATAAAGAAAACTGTTTCCTGTCTGTAAAAACTGTCGCACAGAAGTGCAAGATTTAATAAAAACAGGTTTTCTAATCGATTATCTGTTATTGAATATTTTAATGATCTAAGTGGAGTTTTATCTAATATTCGCTGCGGCTCTAACATTAACTCAGTTTATTAACAGCCTGCAGAACTCTGTGTTTGTCTCCATCTAGTCCTAAGAGTAGTTTGTTCCAGAATGTTCCACTGGTGTTCTGGAGCTGCACCCTCACTGTAGTCTATTCACTCACTGCACGCACTGTCACTGCACGCACTGTCACTGCACACACTGTCACTGCACACACCATCACTGCACACACTGTTGCTGCACACACTATCACTACACGCACTGTAACTGCACACAGTATCACTGCACACACTGTTAAAGCACACGGTCACTGCACTCACTATCACTGCACACAACATCACTGCACATACTGTTACTACACACACTGTTACTACACACAGTATCCCTGCACACAGTTATAGCACATTGTCACTGCACACACTGTCACTGCATGCACCATCACCACACGCACTGTTAGTGCACACACTGTCACTGCGCACACTATCACTGCACACAGTATCCCTGCACAGACTGTCACTGCACGCACCATCACTGCACAAACTGTCACTGCACACACTACACACACTGTTATTGCACACAGTATCCCTGCGCACACTATCACTGCACAGACTATTACTGCACACACTATCACTGCACACACTCACTAACAAATCCGTCTGTTCTGGCTTTTTTAACGGCTAACTGTCTGTTAGTTTCTATATCAGTGCGGTTCTCCTGTGTGTTAGTGGTGTCTCACACTCTTGGCCAGTGGTGTGCGGGTGTTGGAGGTGTTGCTGACCTCTTCTCGCTTTTCTACAGGAAGTATTTTGGAGAGAAGATCGGACTGTACTTTGCATGGCTGGGTGTTTATACTCAGATGCTGATTCCAGCCTCTTTAGTGGGAGTGATCGTGTTCCTGTACGGCTGCGTTACCGTGGACGACGACATCCCCAGGTCAGCCTCACTGCCCATTGGGCCAGAGGACAGAGTTTACTCTGTATAATAAACCACATTGTGAAATTAGATTACATTAGATTATAAATAAACAATGATACTGGAGTAACGCTGGTCGTTATTGTCTTCAGTAATGAGGGATAAATTAACGTTGTTTATGTAAAGGTAATAAATCAATGAGGTAATAAACTCCACAGGAGTCACTGTTACAGTGACTGATGATAAAATCATGCTGTAACTCTATATGAATTATTTCTGACTTGTAGTTCATTATAATGTTAACTGTGTGGAAAGATTAAAAACTTTCAGACCAGATCACAGTAGAGTGTAAAAAATACAACACCATTTCCAAATAAATAGGTACGCAGTGCAGAACGTAAATAAAAATATAATGCAATGATATGCAAATCATGTAAACCATATTTTTAA